CGCTGAGAGCAGCCTATTTCTGAGAACTGGCTGTCTCAGTGTTTGAATACTAAGGGGTGAGCTGGAAGTACTGGTCCCCACACTAGGCAGAAGGACATCCCACAGATCTCACTGTACCAAGAAGGGGAAGAGATTCCAAAGCAAACATCTATGTTTGGGTTACAAATCCTTTCTTTTCTCCCAGAACAAAAAGAAAGATTGCTTCAAGATGTGTTTGGGAATGGTCTAATATTTTCAGAGCATGATATCTGCATGATTTGTTTTGGAACTTATGCATGATGCAGACTTCGAAAGTCATATGAGGGCAGGAAAAAAAAGTGAAGGAATGTCAAACAACGGCAAATCCTCTCAAGTCAGGAGGTGTTTTGAGCTTGATATACAACAGCAGACTGTCGATGCTCCTTGCCCTGTTAGGCTAATTAAGCAGCTCTGATTATGAACATGGTCTTTCTAATTATAATTTGCTGATATGATAGGTAAATCCAGCTACAACTGAAATGGAGGGGGGAGGTTACAAGGTAGAGAGGCAAGATTTCAAAAGAAACAAATTACGAAAGTGTTGTCATTCATATTGGGCTCAATGATCCACAGGGTCTCTTCTAGCTTTCCACTTCTAAGGGGATGATGAAGATGATGATATAATCCTATAAGACAAATGATTTCCCGTTCCAACAGGATAGACTGACAAATGGGAAAGTATAATTTATGGCACAACAAAATGATTTATACAAGAGCTCCACCCATTTTATTTCACTGATTAAGAAAACTAGCTAAATCTATGCAACTTCAAGATTTCACATTTTGATACAAAGTTCTAATAGAAGAAGGAGGTGGCTCAAGAACATGGATCTGGTCCTTCAGAAGGGCCATCATTCAGGTCCTCTGAGATGTTACAACACTTAACATTCTTGAGAGCAGGGGAAGGAATGTTTGTAATCCCCTCCTCCTCTGTGTCTTCATAGCACAATGAACCCAGAATTAGCAGAAACCTGACTCCTGTTCAAATATTGTACATCTTGGTATTCTCAACACCTTAAAATGGAATGCCTTGCCTGTCCGCACTCCATCACTAATTTATTCACATGACCAGTGACAAGAAGATCCAGGTTCTGTGGAGTGTTTCCATATGTGCAACAATCCTATTTGCATGCAAGATGCAATCTCTCCTCCTAAGTCATAACTGATAGCAAGCAAAAAGTAATGGTGTGGGGTAGAGTGGCAATGCACTGTTCTCTAAGTTCCAGAGAATGCCATATTCTATATACATCAACCTGGCTTTGGTTAAAGACAGTTGTTCCCAAACTGGGAAGTGTTTTCTGGGGGGTCATGTGTCTCCTTATATGTGTTGCTGCTTTTGTTGTTGTTGTCATGTGCCGTTCAGTAGGAACCAACTTATAGCGACCCTAACAGGACTTTCAAGGTAAGAGAGGTATTTAAGGAGTGGTTTTACCAGTTCCACTCCCTCAGTGAGTTTCCATGGCTGAGTGGGAAATCATACCCTGTTCTCCAGTGTCCTAGTCCCCTACTCTATTCACTACACTGCAAACATACTACATAGGCTGTAGCTCTTGTTAAATAATTTCATCCTTGACTTTTCCAAGCAGGATTTTAAAGTTAGTGTGTATGTGTATGTATAAGATACAGGCCCTTGGGGGGAGAAAGAAGCCTCTACTTTCTGAGAAGGGGTTAAAGGGACTATTTTTAACAAAAATAGAAATGCCAGCAGAAATATATAATTGCTGCGACTTTTGCAAGAAACGGATTTTAACTAAGATGTGTCACTTCAGGAAAGTGTTGGCTTGGCCATGTCGTGAGAATGGCTGATGGTCGGATTCCAAAAGATCTCCTGTATGGAGAATTAGTGCAGGGAAATCGTCCCAAAGGGAGACCACAGCTGCAATACAAGGATACAGTGGTGCCTTGCAAGACGATGTTAATCCGTTCCGCGGAAATCGCTGTCTTGTGAAAACATCGTCTTGCGAAACCAAATTTCCCATAGGAATGCATTGAAAATTAATTAATGCGTTCTTAGGGGGGAATTTTTAAAAAAAAGGAACTTAAGGGGTAGGGAGCTGGGGAAGCACCATGAGAGGACTGGCAGGGCGTCCCCTTGCTGCGATCGCCAGCTTTGGAGGTCCCCCGCCTGTCCTTTGATGGTGCAGGAAAAGCCTCCAAAGTGGAGGGGGTGCCCCAAAACCACCCGCGCCCGCTTTAGAGCACTTTGGAGGCTTTTCCTGACGGTGCAGGAAAAGCTTCCAAAGTGCTCTAAAGCCAGCACGGGTGGTTTCGTAGAGTGAAAAAGCCCCATTGGAACCATCGTTTTACAATCATTCCAATGGGGACAATCATCATTGTGATGTGGCAGGCCACTCTGATGTCACTGCCAACTCAGGCCTCTCAGAATGCCCACCACGCTACCTCACACTCACTGCCACCAATTGTAATGACTATTTAAGAAGGACACAGGTTTCCTTCAAAACAAAACAGGTTTATTGAAATAACAAAATAAAATATGTAAATCACAATTAGCTAATCAAGATGTCAATCACTGTATCTTATTTAATCAATCACAGACTTCCCTCACTGACCACTTAGGCACGTAGGCCTCTAAACAAACTCTCTCTCACACACTAGATCTGATCTCCCACACTCTCTTCCCACCCTTTTTTCTTCCAGCTCCTCCCTCTTCAGCCCCACCCTCCGTCACCCCATTGGCTGATGATTCACTGCCCAGCTGTGACGGACAGGTGAGGTCAGGGCTGCCTGTTACAATCATCATAAAGCGATTTCGTTGTCAAGCGGGGCAACCATCTAGCGAGACACCACTGTATCTGCAAGCGGGATCTGAAGGCCTTAGGAATGGACCTCAACAGATAGAAAACCTTGACCTCTGAACATTCAGCCTGGAGGCAGGCGGGGCATCACGGCCTCCCGCATTTTGAAGAGACCCTTGTTCAGCAGTCCAGGGCAAAGAGGCAGTCCCAAAACTAGCAAAATCAGGGAGCTGGACAGGGGCCAGATTGGATTTGTCCTCAGTGTGGAAGGGAATGTTACTCTCGCACTGGCCTTCTCAGCCACACTAGATGCTGTTCCAAGTCCTCCATGCAGAGCACGTTACCATAGTCTCTCGAGACTGAAGGATGCCTACTAAGTCAGGAAAGCCTAAAGAAGGAGAGGAAAGGGAAAAAGAAGACCCCTTCCCCACAAATAATAAACTGCCAGGAGGGGGATACAAAAACAACTCTTCTGAAGCAGGTGCAAGCTTTGTCTCGGTTTCTGAGGGCGATCTTCTCTATACAAAGGTTTTGCCCCCTCCCTGGATGCTGCCAAGACCTTCCCCTGACCCATCTTTGAAGTCCTTTGTCTTTCTTCTCCCTACTCTTAACCAACTCCAGCCTGTTCCTAGTTTTGAAATGGTGGAGGTGGAGGCGGCAGCATGAGTGGTAGGAGGGCAAAGAGAAGCATCACTGATGGTGCTGCCATGTTGGGGAATGACGACAATGCACATGCAGGGTGTGTGTGTTGCAGGTAACTTGGCTATTATAAAAGGGCTGTGACTCAAAAAAAGGCTGGGAACCACTGCTTTAAGGTGAACGAGCTTTCAAAGAAGTAGCCCTGTTAGTCTGTGCAACTGGATCAGACAAGAACAAGCAAACTAGGAAAAAAAACTTAAAAGACTTCTATGTCAATGTGAGGTTTTGTGGAAGCATCCACTTCTTCAAATACTTCTGACATTTCTGAATAAATGGATCTATCCACAAGAGCTCATACCAATGAGTCTTTAAGATGTCACAATGTTTTTTGCTTTAAATTTTTGTTATTTTTGGTATTTGTGTGTGTGTGTGTGTGTGTGTGTGTGTGAGAGAGAGAGAGAGAGAGAGAGAGAAAAGGAGAGAGAGAGAGGAAGGGAGGGAGGGAGGGAGGGAAGGAGGGAGAGAGAGAGAGAGGGAGAGGAAGAGAGAGAGAGATGTGTGCCTGTTCACACAGCTCATTTGCTCACACATTGCTTCTTCCAGCTGGCAAGATCACTAGATCAACCAGAAATGGAAACATGAACATTCCATCCACACTGAAGATCTTGTCCTGCCATTTCAAAACAAGCCAGGATTCAAAAACCAAGCACAAACCCAACTTAATTCCAACCTGTAAAGCAGGAGTGGCACAACTTCTGTAGCTTGGGAGTCCAAATTCCACCCTGGAACCTACCAGAGGCTGCACCTGCTGCCCTCACTGTATTTGCCATAGCTTTTTTTTATGAAAACAAGACACATTAGGTGCATGCATACAGATCACACTTGTGGAGAGGAACAGAGTGGGAACAAACGGGCCATATGCTCTGGCATCTTATCATGCCATCTCATACAAATGTAGCAAATAAGTCATCAGAGATAAAATGGCTGTAAGGAACTCGAGGCAGTGTATCCTTCAATCAGTTTTCCTCATTGCACTGCCCTAAAATGGCTCTCACAGCAATCTAACACTCAGATATTTGTCACATGGACACTCTATGCTTTTTCTGGCCTGGAGAAATCTTTGTTGGTTTTATTTCTGCATGTTGGTTATTCTTTAAGCCAACAGCAAAATCAGTACGAACAGATGACAACTCCACCTTGAATCTCCGCTCTTCAGCCATACTAAATAAAGCATATCCCTCCAATTAAAATTTGCCTCAGTGATTAATCAGCGAAAGCACTAGCTGGCTAACCTACTGATGAAGTGTGGCAGTCCTTTTCTCAGACACTCGTGATGTCCAGCTCTCTCGTCTTAAATACTTGGAACTTACCTTATGGGGGAAAAAACACATGTTTAGGTCTTTATGCTTTGTAAAACAAGGCTGCCCTCTGTTGACCAATATGAGAAGCAGTCTGAAAATAACTTACTCAAAGATCAGCACGACATAGCTTCTACCTTACATTGATGAGAGATTATCCCTTTTATAAGCAAGTAACACAGAAACAGCAAAAATATGCACGCCATGTTATTAAAAATGTACATTTTACCTGCTCATAATAGTGGATATTGTTTTCTGCAACATCGTTAAATGCCGACTTCATATCTAGATGCATGCTTTGCTTCCATCTGTCCCAGTCAGCTTGCAGAGAGTTATTGGCACACTCTACTTTGTCTTCAAGTTTTCCAATCTCTTCTGATAGCTAGACAAAAGTACATATATGCACATTTCATCAATTTATGGGAGGAAATAACACTATTAAAGAACCCCATAATGCGGTCTTCCTTTACCTGGTGCCCTCCAAATGTGCTAGCTATAATTCCTATTATCCCCAACCAGCATGGTCAGTCTTCATACTGTCTTGGATCATTCCAGCTTACAATACAACTCATCCAGAGAGCAAGAAGACCAAGAAAGATGGTGGTAAGTGAGGATTTTTTACAACAAAATCTAGGATTTTATTATATTTCTAGAATACAGAGAAGTCTTTTATTCTCTATTCTGGGTTGTTTTTTTGTTTTGTTTTTAAAGGGTGGTTTAGGAATCTTTGGGGCTCCGTGGAAATTTATCCAGGATCTTTCACTGAGAGGATCAGTAGTGGCAGATTGGCTCACTGCTAAGATTTCTGGCAGTTAAAAGGCATAGAATGCTTACTACAGATAAAATATCAATGTATGTGTTGGCACAAGGTTTCCATGATAGAGCATAAAAGCTATTCATAAACCAAACGCAACTCATTTTTGCAGGAGTTACTTCAAAACAGTTACTACAGTAACCACCTTTGGGCACCCACTACAGCTAGGCCTCAGTTACATCCTGATGCACTCTTGTTTACCCATAAATAATTTGGCCATATACAATAAAGACAATAGCTCATCCCAGAACGCAGCAGAAATAATTCCTGAGCATTCTGCACCTATAACAACAACAACAACAACAACAACAACAACAACAATAATAATAAAAATAATAATGTGCCATCAAGGGAATTCTGACTTAGGTCAACCCTTTTCAGGCTTTTCCAGGTAGAGAGGGCTCAGAAGTGGTCTACTATTCCCTTCTTCTGGGGGCACCCTGGGACTGTGCAGCTTGCCCAAGGTCTCACAGGCTGGCTCTTCTCCATGGAGGAACATTGAGAATCGAACTCTCAAACTCTGGCCTTGTAGCCAGCTACCTAAAACACTGAGCTATCCAGCCAGCTACTCTATGGTAGAGATGGGATATTCACAGTCCTATCCCTGGGGGCGGAAAGACTATGAAATACTGGCATCACAGGTGCCTGGGGAAACTGGACCCTCCCCCCAGGACAAGACAGTCCACTTTCCACTCACTGCATGGCACACACAGCTATCACCATTCACGTTGCGCCAATCACGAAAGTAGCCCAGCCAGTGCTTCCCATCCTCCCTGCACAACTGACTGCCCAGCAGCTAAGTCGGGAAACTTGTCACCCCACCTCCTTGCTGGAGTTGTTGACTGTGTGGGGAGGTGGAGAAATGCTGGCCAGTGGAAGTACTGGTAAGTGGACTGGCCGGTTATGGGGTCAATCAACTGAAATTGACTTGACTAATTATTATTATTATCTTTAAGAGCAACACACACAAAAAGAAAGAAAATGGCAGGCAAAGCATATTTCATTTACTGAAGGGGAAATCTTTTTACTTTTGCTTTCTACAGTGTTCATTCCTTTAAAACGTCAACCTTTTCCTCCCTAATATGAAGATTAAAAAAAAGATTCAAATTTTTTTTCAAAATTGAACCACACTGAAATTATCCCTCAAGTTATCCACAAATTATCCAAATTATCCACAAGTTCAGTACATAAAACTATTCCTAACTTGAAAAAGACAAGAGTTGTTAAAAATGAAGGCTCTTGAGAAACCAACAAATGGTGGCTCTACATCAACACTAATATGACTGAATACACAGAAATCTAAACTCAGACTCTACAGTTCGCCACTCAAAGCTCTGGATGTGGACAGAAGAATCTGTTGATCTTGGTTTCTCTCACAATTTGTTTTTTTCCTTAAAAGAAAAAAAGTGCTGGCCAAATTTTGTGCATTTCAGCAAATCCTGATTTTTTAAAAAAGACCAGTCATGAGTATTGCAGTAATCCAAATGAGACATAAGTAAGACATATGTCACTATGGCCAGATCAGATTTTATTCCATTTGATCTCATTCCTTGGTCATATTCCTATCCCCATCAGCAAAAGTGGTGCAATACTTTTGTTCTGTTTTGGTTTTTGTTGTGCCTAGTCATATCAAAGAGTTAATAGGATAAGATAAACAGCATGTGTAGAAATTCCTTCGTCTACACAACTTTTAAAGTATTAGATGACCTGTTCTTTAGTTCACCTGATTGCTTTGTAACTGAGACAGTTTCCCCTGCACTTCACTTGTGCTTACCAACAGATAAATCCAAGTTTTAGAACTGACTTGTTGAACCTAGGACACATGGAGCTGAATTATAGTTTATGCAAACAGGTTTCCTCTCTAGGCAATCCTAGGCAGGGTGAAAATCCTGAGATTTATTGAGCCTCCAAGTAAATTATGTTACATGGCTTTTAGCCAGAACTTTAGACCAGTAATTATTTTTTTCTCTTGCCCTTCCTCCAAGGACTCCAAAAATGGAAAATTCATGGCACAACTGTTGAGCACATGGCTTACATTCAAAAGATCCCGAGTTAAATCTGCAGCATCTTCATGCTGGGCTAAGAAAGATTTCTCTGTGAAAGCTTGGGGAGTGCTTGCCAGTCGCGTAAGCAGGAATGAGATACACGGACCAATGATGTGAATGGGTGTGTCTGGAACTTTTCTTGCCGAAAGCTCATACTTGAAATAGCATATTTTTCCATGTATTAGACTATACTTTTGTCTAAAATGTTTAGACTCAAAATTGAGGGTTGTCTTATACACGGAAGTAAGCTGCGGAGAGGATGAAAACAAGTGGAGGGGAAAGCAGGGATCAAATTGTTCCTGCAGGCCTTTGATCCCCGCTTTCCCCTCTGCTTGCTAAGTCCCATGGCTGCAATTTAAGTTCAGTTTTCCTATATTTTTAAGCATTTGTACCTACAACACCGTTTATAGCTATTAGGGCTAAGCTTTATGAGTAGTAGTACATGTGCCAATAATTTCTCAAATATTACATATTTTCAGTAATTTCTGAATTATTAATTGCGGATGTTTATGCATAGAAGCAATTAGATAAATAAAGCTTGTAGAATTTGGCAAGCTGGTGTTGTCTGGACAATTTTTCCTACATGGGAAAACACAGCATAAGTAAGATGTGGAGGTATAGAACAACCTTCATCACCATGAGGGAAACAATGGTTTATTCTCATCCTCTGAAAGGGGATGGAAAATGTAAACTACTTTGATACTCAGAAGATATTAAGGAATTAACCCTTTTAGGAATAAATGTCAGCTAAGGCAGACCACCCTCCCCCCAAAAAATGTTAGAAATCTTATACTGCTCTGAGGTCATTGTTCGAGAGTTACACATTTGACCTTGCCAGATACAAAGCCACTATGTTTCTACTTTGTACAACGGTCTTCCAGTTTTATCTTCACTATAACCTTGTGAGTACAGTGGTGCCGCGACTTACGAATGCCCCTATCTATGAACATTTACGACTTACGAACGCCCCTATCTATGAACATTTCGACTTACGACACCTCTGCTCACAAAATTTTGCATCGACTTGCGAGCAGAGCTTCCACTTACGAACACAAAAGGGCAGGGGAAAAGGGTGAGAAATGTAAATTTGCTAACCACACAAAAGGGCAGGGGGAAAGGGTGAGAAATGTAAATTTGCTAACCATCGGCGGCAAAGAGGCTGTTTCTTTGTACAGTTCTTTCGTCCTAATGGTTAGGAAAAGGGATACAGCGGTGGTGGTGGAAGCAGCGGGGATCCAGTGCCGTCAAACCCATCCTGGATGGGCTCTGCCTCCAGCGGTCCCCGCTGCTCAGCTCCCGGCTGGGCTCCAGGAGGCAGAGCCCAGGCCGGGCAGTGGCAGCGGAAGCCCAGCTGGGCAGTGGCAGCGGAGCCCAGGTCGGGCAGCTGCAGAGGTTGCTGCAGTGGTGGAAGCCTGGGAGGCTTCGGAGGCTTCGGACTGGTAAGGTCCTGCTTTTTCATTTTTAAAAAACTGTTTGGGGTGGGTTTGGACTGGGGGGGGTTATGTTTCTGTGCTGTGTTGTTTTGTTTTGGGGGTCTTTTGTTTTTTTGCAGTTTCAGTGTGGGGGTTGCTCTTTTTTTTTTTTTTTAAAGGCAAGGAAAAACGTGAGAAATTCAAATTGCTAAATGTAGGTGGCGACGAGGTTGCTTCTTTGTAGCTCTTTCGCCCCAGCAGTTAGAGAGTGTGTCAGAGGAGGCTTGGGACTGCCTAGCTTCTGCTTCTGAGTGAGTATGTGTGTGTGTTTGAAGGGAGGTTTCGGGCTGCCTGGTAAGGTAAGGTGCTGTTTTCTGCTTTTTAAAAACTGTTCTGGGTATTTTTGAAGTGTGTAAGGACTGGGGGGGGGGGTTTATGTTTCTGTGCTGTGTTGTTTTGTTTTGGGGGTCTTTTGTTTTTTTGCAGTTCCAGTGTGGGAGTTGCTCTATTTATATTTATTTTTCCTTTTTTGAAATGCTGGAACAGATTAATCCCATTCCCATGCATTTCAACTGGAGATGGTGCTTCGACTTAACAAGCATTTCCATTTACAAACATCTTCTGGGATGGATTAAGTTCATAAATCGAGGGACCACTGTAGAATTATCACCTGGATTTCTTGGCCGAAGTGGGAAATAAATCTGTGCCTCTTTACTCCAAGTCCAACACTCCCCTGAGTCCATCACAATGGCAGTCCCTGAACAAAGCCTGCAATATCACAAGCTACAGCTTGAAAGCAATTGTATGTATCATATGACATCTCTAACCAAACTCATTTTTGGCTTTAAAGCAGGTATGATGATTGAAGGAACTAATCCTACCCCCTCTCTTTATTCCCGTTTCTTATGTGTCACAGCTGCACTCTCTGCAGGAACAAACTGATGTCCCATTTAGAGATCACGCTCCGTAGCCTTTTCACAGTGCTAATAGCATGTTTGTGATTCCCCATCTCCAGAGCAAACACTCTTCATGTTACATTGAGGTTCACGCCACTCACTGTCAACCTAATTTTGAGCCATCCGCTTCCAAAGGCGAGCTCGCGTGGACAGTC